TTGAACTCACAGCGAGCAGCCTGCCTCTGTCTCCTTGAGTGCTGGGATCACAGGCGTGCGTCACCACAGCTGGCTAACACTGACTTTCTATAGTTTTACCGACCTCTCATGGGCACAGAGAACCTTGGTGGCAGCCCACTTCCTTTCAGATATGGTACTCTTGACACTAGGCCTTTGAAGCAACTATGTCTTCTAGCTTTTAGGAACAGAACTTCCCAGGGAAGTTGCTCTCAATAGCCAGTCTCAGGTCACCACCTTGGGTTCTTTCCCCTCTGGAGAGAATCTGTATGTCTCTTCACACCATCTGGAGCATCATGGGAAGGAAAGAAAATGGGCTCTTCTTCATTCTGCCTGTACATTTCCATGTCTGGGTTGGCGATTGGGGGTCAGGAGTAGCCAGGTAAGGTCCTTGCCCCCCCCCCCCAAAAGCTGAGCAGTCCCAGAATTCGAGGCCACTGCCACTTAGAAACAGGTATTCGAAATAGCAGTTGTCGTCATCGCCGGAATGGGGAGAAAGGTCACTAACACCTGAACCTGGGGTCCAGCGTGATAACCGCTTCAGTTTGCGAACATTTATCCAGCTTCTGTTTGTCCGGATGCTCTCCACGGGCAAAACCCTCGCTTCTCCACTCTACTCACTATTCAGCTCTGCCTAGCTGAGCTGTAGAGGTGGATTCAGCCAAAGGGGGGGGGGGGGGGGGGGGGGGGCGGGGAGGACACCCCCGGGGGGGGGGGGGGGGAGGAGGGGCACTGGCAAGACACCACCGAAGGAAGGAGAGTGAAATTGAGGCATTCGTTCCTCTCACACCTGCGAGCCATCCAAGGTCACTTGCCCCTGGCCCAGAAGGCTGCAGTTCCTGTCAGGCCGCCCTCTTCCCTTTAGGTAGGAGATCGCAGTTTTGTAAGAAACACGGTTGTATCTCTTTGTTCCAGATCTTCCCACGACTGTTAGAAAAAAAAATAAATAAAGATAATAAACAAACAAACAAATAAAATCCTTGTCCCTTTGTGAAACATTCTCCTTTGGTCCAGTTTGTGTGGACCACTTGCTTCCGGTCAGAACTCAGACTGGAAAAAAAAAACCTCATAGTAGATACCAAACGGACAGGGACTGTCGGCAGATACATGAGCATGCGGGGGCGAGGGGGGGGGACAGGACACTCCTTCCCCCAAGCGAAGCACAGGCTATCAGCTTCTTATTTAATAGTCCCAGCAAGCCTTTCAGATAAGGGAGAGGCATGCAGAAGAACGGTGTGGCTCTCTAAAGGTCCTCAATATCTAAGAAGCACAGCCAAACTGCAAGGAGCTCCTCAGACTCCATAAACACGGGAGGAGAGAGACCAAGAAACTCTTGCTCAAAGACTGAGGGGTTAAGAGCAAACCGAGCCATGCACGTTTCTCGGGAACCGCTTGGATTTCAGTGTGGAACTGTAGCTTCTAATCTTTTCAGCGTTGGCTGTCACTGTACTGCGATTTAGACACACTGTGTGGATTTCTGTGGGAGTCTTTGCTGTTTGCAGACCTTCTCTTTGTTCAGTTGGGAAACCGGGATTTGCACTAAGTCTCAGAGTTGGTGGGATGTGTCGGAGGCGCCAACCAATGGGAATGCAGCGAGCAGTCCCACCCGCGACTACTACCCCAGCCGGCTCAGTCCACCCGCCCTTCTTGTCCAGCTTGAGATGGAGGCGACGCTGGTGCTGGAGCCTGCGGGCCGCAGCTGCTGGGACGAGCCGCTGGGCATCTCCGTGCGCGGCCTGGCCCCCGGGCAGCCCGTCACGCTGCGCGCGGCCCTGCGCGACGAGAAGGGCGCGCTCTTCCGCGCCCACGCGCGCTACCGCGCCGATGCCCACGGCCAGCTGGACCTGGCGCGCGCGCCCGCGCTGGGCGGCAGCTTCGCGGGGCTCGAGCCCATGGGGCTGCTCTGGGCCATGCAGCCCGAGCGGCCTTTCTGGCGCCTGGTCAAGCGCGACGTGCAGACGCCCTTCGTGCTGGAGCTGGACGTGCTGGACGGACACGAGCCCGACGGCGGGCGGCTGCTGGCCAAGGCGGGGCACGAGCGCCACTTCCTGGCTCCCGGGGTGCGGCGCGTGCCCGTGCGCGAGGGCCGGGTGCGCGCCACGCTCTTCCTGCCCCCAGGTGAGCTGCCCTGACCCTCCCTTTGCTCCAAGAGCCTCTGTGAGTTTAAGTGAAGAACAAGGCAGCTCCGGATGGCTTGGACTCAGAGGGAAAGGAGACAGAACGGGACGGGAAGAGGCCTGTTACGGTGCTGGTATTTCTCTGAAGCTGGTCCTTTAAATTCCACTGCTCAATTATAAGACGAATTTTACTAAGTTACTTCCTTAAGTTTTAAGGAAAGGGACACGACACTTGTAATAATAAAACGAAAACTGTTGATAATACACCGGGCATAGTGGCTCATACCTTTAATCCCAGCACTCAGGGAGGCAGAGGCAGGTGGATCTCTGTGAGTTTGAGGCCAGCCTGGTCTACAAAGTGAGTCCAGGACAGCCAAGGCTTTACAGAGAAACCCTGTTTTGGAAAAACAAACAAACAAACAAACAAAATAAAACAAATCCAATTAATGACAAATACACAGCTAGAGAGGGTGAAAGTGTTCATACAGTTAGTCCGGGAAGCAATTGGGTTTTAGGAGGTAGATGAAAATGTATTTTTACCCTTTTTGTGGTTCGTGTGCACCAGAAAGCTTGGAAATAGTCCAAACGGCCCCCAGCACTGGGGCCGATGAATAAATGGAGGTGCATTTCTAGAAGCCAAAGTGATTGAGCCACAGCTGCCAGCGTCTTGCGCTCTACACAAATTGAAATCGTAAGTGGGTAAAGGCTGCACTCGCTCGCTGATCGTTCCCCGTAGCGTTCAGGAGCACGGAGCCACAGCAATGGGAGGCAGACACACTGTTGGTGGCGTCTTCTAGTGCCACGGTCCTGCAGGTCTTTGGTATCAGGTCCCTCAGCTTCTGGCCAAGGCCAGCATTACGTCCTTAAGTCCGAGACCCTAAACATCTTCACAATCGACAGCTGCCCGGAGTCTTCAGGTGACCAGCACTCCCTTCAAGCTCTGTTTTCTTTAGTCTGCGCTCACTGCTCTCTCTTGCCGTCTCTCTATTTCCACTTTTCGTCTTCCCTCCCTGGCTACTCTTGAATTGTTTGGTTGTGTCTTCAGTCAGCTGCCTGAACCCTTTCACAGCTCAGTGACTGCTGCCATGACAACCTGGGAAGCCTGTTCCTTGCCGGGACTATGCTCAGAAAAGGAGTTCCAGGCTGACAGACTTGCCAGCTGCTTGGAAGCTGGGGTGTCCATTCAGGAACTGGGTCTGCCAAGTGCTGAGCTGTCATGGCGGCCGCCGCTGCTCTGCCAGCTCTGGCTTGCTGCTCCCTCCTGTCTGTATGTTACCAGCTTAGCCTACACCGAAAGTAGGCAAGAAAAGACCACTCGAGAGAAGCCTTTTCCTAAAGTTGCAACACTGGTGTTTGTGTGCACACATTAAGAAAAAGTGTCTCCCAGAGGGCTTGCTTTCATAGTTAGAGAAGGGTCATTTAATCAGTCACAGCCTAGCCTCTTAGCACCAATCATAATCACTGAGATTTGTGTTTAAACCAAACACAGATTAGCAGGTACAACTGCTAGAAAAGCAGGGGAAATGCCCCTCAACTTCCGAGATAACCCGACCACCACGCACACACACAGCCCAGGGTAGAAAAGTTATAAGAAAAAGTCTGGTGCAAGTTGTTGAGGTCACAGTACAGTCTGCTTGAGTTCTCACCCTTCCACCATGTGGGTCCTGGGGATTGAACTCAGATCATCTGGTTTGACAGTGGGTGTCTTGTTAGCCAAAACCAAAATATGTAAGGCACACGTTTAAGCGGTGACAATGCCAAGGGGCATTGGTACATAAAATCACAATCATGCAGAAGAGCAAACAGGCGAAAGGGAGGCTTTCTGTTGCCTGAGAGTCCAAGTCAGGGTTCTCTGGAGCAACAGAATGGACAGGCTATATATTGTGAAGGCCTTTATTGGATTAGCTATGGACTGTGTGGTTCATCAATGGCTGTTTGCACTCGAGGCCGAGAACATAGTCGTTGCTCCATAGACCCCACTGACTAGATGCCTCCGCCATCCCAATGTGATGATGAAGGTCTTTGGGATTCCTAGACAGCCATGTTGGAAGACCAAAAAATCTGGGTTTCCAGGGTCAGGCATGGTGCCAGCAACAGGTAGATCCGCTTACCAGCAAAACAAACAAAGAAAAAAGAACAAACAAAACAGGACTGCCTTTTCCTCAGACTGCTTGCTATCTGTACTGCCAGCAGAAGGCACTGCCCACCTTGGATGGTGTGGGGGGGAGGGGGAAGGCATCTTTTCTCTTCATTTAATCCTTCCTGGAAATGCCCAGAGGTGTGTCTTACTGATTCTAGATCCAATCAATTTGAAATCATGATTAACCATTACACTGAGTTATTGTTTCCATTGGACGTGCGAAAGACAAACCTTCTTAGATCAACGGTGAACACACTCAGGACCCCAAAACATGCAGAATGAGCCTGCAGCCTTTCAGTCTATGTCCATTCACTTAGCACAAGGCATTTGAGAGTCACGGGGTCTCCTGTCCAGCAGGCCTTCCTGTTTCGTCATGACGTACCAGTCTATGGAGGTAGCTCAGCCCGGACCCCTTCACCAGCTGAAGGACTGTTTGCTCACAGTCTGGAGACTGGGAATAGAGCTGCTGCAAACGCTTGTTTGTCATTTCGTTTCTCGCTCTTGCTTCAAAGGACTGGCTTATCTGGCTTTGTGAGCGACTGCCCAGCGACTGGTTCCTACAGACTGCCCTGTTGGTTTTATACTACACCAGCATTATGCCATAGTTCTGGTGGCTGCACATCTTCTGCGGCACTTGGCATTGTCCAGTTTGGGGGACAGGTGTGCGTGTGTGTGTTCTCAGCCATGCATGCTAGGCACATGCTTTTCCCTGTCTTCTAAATGTCCCCTCGATGTCTTTGTAAACACTTGTGGAGCTTCGAGGCTTTGGTTAAGGAAGGGGATATGGATTTAGCCCAGGTGCTATCCAGGTGCTTAAAGGTAGGAGTTCCTTCAGTATTTTTCACTATCGGTTGAAAACCTTGTGGTCCTCACATAAGCAAGAAATGCCTTTGGTGCCACTGAAAACAGTTTTTAGTAATATTTAGTTTTATTTTTCCCCAGAACCTGGCCCCTATCCTGGGATTGTGGACCTTTTCGGAGTTGGAGGTGGCCTCCTGGAGTATCGGGCTAGTCTGCTGGCTGGGAAGGGCTTTGCCGTGATGGCTCTGGCTTATTATAACTATGACGACCTCCCCAAGAGCATGGAAACCATGCGCATGGAGTACTTTGAAGAAGCCGTGAACTACCTGCGTAGCCACCCCGAGGTTAGATCCCTCTCCTTTTATTGGCTCCTTGTCAGATCTCCTCCTCATGTGCTCCATTTCACAGAACAAGTGAACTGATGACAGCCAGCCTCAACCTCCCTTAGTTCACAAAGTGTCCAAGCCCATTTGAGATCCCTGGGTTTGAAAGAAGTAGAGAGAAAGGAAAAGGTAAGGTCCACTGGGTACGGTGGCTCATGCCTGTGATCCCAGCACTCAGGAGGCAGAGGCAGGCAGATCTCTGTGAGTCTGAGGCCAGCTGGGTCTACAAAGCAAGTCCAAGGCTACACAGAGAAACCCTGTCTCAAAAAAACAAAACAAACAAACAAACAAAAACAAAACAAAAGAAAGAGAGAGAGAAAGAAAGAAAGGAAGAAAAAAAGAAAGAAAGAAAGAAAGTAGGGCCTCTCCCAGCCAGTGCTCTCTCTTGCCTGTGTCCCTGTGTCCCTGTGTCCCTGTGTCAGCAGAGATAGAAGCACAGGGTGAATTGTGAAAGAGGAACTTGACAATCAGTAGCAGGAGGCCAAGGTGCTCTGAGCTTTCTAGATTCAGCATAGCCCAGGCTGGGGTGGAAACCCTTGCTTGTTTTATAACTTTATCACCAGAACTTGATGTGGCTGGAAGCATTGGTGCTCTTGGGGAAGTGGAGCCAGACTAGGATGCTTCTAGAGAGAAGCTTGATTTTGTCAATTTCCCACTCCATGACTCTGGCACTTCTGTTTTCTTCTTTGATAAGTAGATATCCGAGTTTCATCTTTGTTGCTGTGATTAAAAATAAAAATAACCAGTCAGGCGTGGTGGCACATGCCTTTGATCCCAGCATTCTGGGAGGCAGAGGCAGGTAGATCTCTGTGAGTTCAAGGCCAATCTGGTCTACAAAGGGAGTCCAGGACAGCCAAGGCTACCACAAAGAAACACTGTCTCAAAAAACCAACCAAACAAACAAACAAAAACAAACAACAACAAAAGCAACCTATGGGGAAAAGGTGTATTTTAACCACGGTTCCGGCATTCAGTCCATCAGAGAAGGGAGTCACAGAGGCAGACTGTGAGTCACGTCACACTCATAATTGGCTTGGAGAGCCAGATCCATGCATTCTAATTCTCAACTCTCTTTTTCTGGCTTTATACCGCCTAGGACTTGGCCCAAGAAATAGTACCACCTACATTCCTGGTACATTCCCACCTCAATTAGTGAAATTTAGAAGCATATCTATAGGTCAACACAGCCTAGGTTCCTCACTGGAACTCCCATCCCAGGTAAGTCTTCATTGTGTCAAGTTGACAGTGAAAACTTTCATAGTAGGGTAGTTAAAAACATTATTTGACCTTGTAAGTATTAGTACTTAAATGAGGAGCAACATTTAAGTAAACATTTAAAAGTGGTCAAGAGTACCAAAGGGAAAGGGTGAGGGGAAGGAAAATTGGGAGGGAGAAGGAAGAGGGAGAGAGAGAGAGAGAGAGAGAGAAAGAGAAAATAATTGATTGATTTCTGTGAGAGGTCAGCCAAAAGGCCCTTGCTTATAGCTCAGAGGACAGTGGGTTTCAGGGCAGTAGCGAGCAGTCCTCGTTGGTAATGCCAACTCAAACCATTCGGAAGGTGCCAAGGGAATGGATGAAAAGAAGATACAACTCCTGCCTTAGTTAGGGTTTCTATCACTGTGACGAAACACCATGACCGAAAAGCAAGTTGGGGAGGAAAGGGTTTATTCAGCTTACACTTCCACATGGCTGTTCATCACTGCAGGAAGTCAAGACAGGGACCCAAGCAGGGCAGGAATTGATGCAGAGGTCATGGAGGGTGCTGCCTATGGGTTTGCTCCGTGGCTTGCTCAGACTGCTTTCTTACATAACCCACAATGAGCTGGGCCCTCCCCCACTGATTACTAATTAAGAAAACGCCCTACAGTTGGATCTCATGGAGTTATTTTCTCACCTAAGGCTTCTTCCTCTCTGATGACTCCGGCTTGTGTCAAGTTGACCCATAAAACCAGCCAGTACAAACCTCCCCACGGGTTTTGCAGGGAAAGAGAACAAAGTCATAACTAGCCATGGCTCGGGGCACAGGGCTGTGAGAAAACAGGAGGGACCCGAGGACGACCAGCAGAGAGGAGCTTGCAGGAGAGGAAGCCGGAAGTAAGTGTGGGAGGCCGTCCCTGCAGAAAGATGGTGGACTGCACCCCAAACATGACTAGAGGGTGTCTGCTGAGCTCACGTGGGGCATCTGAGAGCTGGAGCTGCCACGGGAATGGGAGACTGTGGAGGGGGAAAGTGAGACATTGCTGCCACGGCTTCTGCTTTCTCACTGTTGTCTGAAGAGCTGAAGGCGGAGCAGCATGTGGGCCCAAGAGGCTGAGGTGGTAGGAGAGGCTGTGAGGAGGTCCCTGGAGAAGGGGAAAGCAAACCCCGGCGATGTGTGGCAGGGCCGATGGCCACGTCAGTGCTTGTGTCAAGTGCAAGATCAGGCGGCAGCGATGTTTGTTTCCTTGGGTCCATTGACTCAGCAGTCTAACGGCAAAGGGAGACGCGCAAATGTCTTCTCAAAGCGGCTTCATTCCTGCCGTGATGGTTTTGAAAATAGATAGAGTGCAGGTGTTGGCCCCAGAATATTTGGCTTTTTGGCTGGGCCTACTCACTGTTAATACTGTTCCTGGATTAAGCCTCCATTTCTCATTTGTTTCTTTGTCAGGTAAAAGGACCAGGAATTGGGCTGCTTGGGATTTCCAAAGGGGGAGAACTTGGCCTTGCTATGGCCTCCTTCCTGAAGGGCGTCAAAGCTGCCGTGATCATCAATGGCTCTGTGGCTGCTGTTGGGAACACCATCTACTACAAGGATGAGACCATCCCCCCTGTGACTATCCTGAGAAATCGCGTCAAAATGACCAAAGATGGCCTCAAGGATGTCATAGATGCTCTGCAGAGCCCTTTGGTAGAGGAGAAGAGCTTCATCCCCGTGGAGAGGTCTGACACGACCTTCCTGTTCCTAGTAGGGCAGGATGACCACAACTGGAAGAGCAAGTTCTATGCGGATGAGATCTGTAAACGCTTGCAGGCCCACGGGAAGGAGAAGCCCCAGGTCATCTGCTACCCGGAAGCTGGCCATTACCTTGAGCCCCCCTACTTCCCACTGTTCAAGGCTGGCATGCACCAGCTGGTGGGCACGAACATCCTCTTTGGAGGGGAGCCTAAGCCCCACGCCCTGGCCCAGGTGGACGCATGGCAGCAGCTGCAGACTTTCTTCCACAAACAGTTGGGTAGTAAAAGTTAGGGGGCCTCCTAACATGCAACCCCTCATCTGGTATTCTGGGGGGGTCAAATTCAGTGTACGAAGATCAGGTCTGATTACGTCATCTGAACATATAACTCCTTTAGGTTTACATTTTTAAAGTTAGTATTACTCTCAAAACAGTGCTTCTCCAAGGGCTAGAGAGTCTTGCACTGGCTTGTGCAAGTCCCTGGGTTCAATCCAACGTTCTGTAAGAAAACAAGCAAATATTATATAGAAACTGTACAACTTCAAGGAACAATGCTCAGAATAAAAAGGAAACCATGAGTTACTGCACTGTGTATCAGTAAAACTTTTTTTTTTCGATATAGGGTTTCTCTGTGTAGCCTTGGCTGTCCTGGACTGGCTTTGAAACCCAGACAATGCAGCCAGTCCTGATGAGATCTGATAGACTAGGGTCAGATGGAAGGGGAGGAGGACCTCCCCTATCAGTGGACTTGGAGAGAGGCAGGAGAGGAGATGAGGGAGGGAGGGCAGGATTGGAAGGGGATGAGGGAGGGGGCTACAGCTGGGATACAAGTGAATAAACTAATTAATATAAAAAATAAAAATAAAAATGTAATCCATTACCAATAGAAAAAAAAAAGAAAGAAAGAAACCCACGCTGGCCTTGAACTCCCAAAGATCTCCTTGCCTCTGCCTCCCTGAGTGTTGGGATTGCAGGTGTGCCCTACCGCGCTAGCTGTCCTTCAATTCTTGGGCCAGTGTCCCCACTCTCATCTTCCCTCAAGAAGTGCTTTGAGGTGACTTGGGGCCTCTTTTCTGATCCTTAACATGTGCATAGGCAGCAGTGCAAAGACGGTTTTTGCTTTGTTTTGTTTTTGCTTTTTTGTTTGTTTGTTTTTTGTTTTTTACACACATAGCCAACAAGATCCTTGGAAGCAACCAAGATGTCCTCCAATAAACTAATGAGGTGTTGGTTACTTTCCCCCATTTTGTACCTGTCACTCAGTCCCTGTTTTAAACTTGTGTACTTGGCGGGAAATGCACCAGAAACCAGAAAGGGATCAGCGTTCTGTTACCCCAGAATGAGCAAGTGCCCTGGAAGTGTCTTGACTAAAATCTGCTCTTTGCCAGTGGTCAGTGTGGGGCCAGATCCTTCCTCCACAAACTGAAAAGACTGGAAAGATGCCACTGGCTTTGTGTTTCTTGGCTGCTGTTTCAAGGTGAAACCTTCATGGCGTCATTGCCAAGGGGCCTCCTCTAAAGGTGAGGCTGGATGAAGTAAGCGTTTCCCAGGCAAATGCACACATCCGAATGGTTATACCTCAGCCTGGAAGGAGCCAGGTCTGGCGTAGCTGAGGATGATGATAATGCGAGATGACCATCTCTATGAAGAGAAGATTTAGAGGTTAAAGCTTGGGGTGGGAAGGTGAGGGAAGAAACCACCGTACCTCCTGGTGGAAACTAGGACACATAGGGAGCATTCAATAAGCAGTCCCCACACCACATTCGTCAGCTCTCTACTCCCACAGGAAGCAGAAGAGCACATTTGTTTAGCCCCTCTCCATTAGTCACCTCAGAGTGACAAGGAGGAGGGGACATGCAGGTGGAAGCTCCCAGAGCAGCTGAGGGGCAGGTGCGCTGGGAAGCAGCCCAGTGGTCATGTGGGATGTCCAGGGCCACACACAGCCTGACTCTGGGAATGCTAGGCTGCACGAACCATCAGGGTGAAGGCAGAAGGACAGACTGATGAGACTGAGTTGGGAGGGAGAGTCTTACAGGGGCTCTCCTGGAGTGGGGATCAAGAGCTTGACTTTCATCTGATGGCCAGGGAGGTCACCAGGGCCCTGGTTCTAGGAGCTGTGGGAACAGCTGCAGTGCAGGGACAGGAGTGACCAAGGGAGGCCTTTAAGTCAGCGTGAGGGGGGCTGTCCCATCGCCCAGCTTTCCTCTTCACTAATGAAAAGAACGGGCACTCCACTTCCTCCCCAGTGTCTGAATGCTTGGAGCAGAGTGGCTGCTAGAGAGGGCGGTGGTCGCAGTGAGCGCAGAGCTAGTGTAAGCCAATGTCCCACTGTGGTCTGTAACCAACACCTGACCCCATCACCTGGTCAGGATCCTCATGATTTCATAACATCACATCAGTGAAAAAAGTCATCGGTGTTGGAACTAGTTGGAACTAGGGTAAAGTTCATGGCGAGCTCTCAGCTGGGTAACTAGTGTTCAAAGCTCTGGGCAGTGAGCCAACACCAGGATCAGCAGGATAATGTACCCAGGCAGCTAGCGGCTGTGTGGAAAACCAAACCCTCCATTTAAGCTAACCTCTCTGAATGGAGGCGTCCTCCTTGAAGGACAAAGGATGTGGCTACGTAAAGAGAGAGAGACTCAGGATTTCAGTTTTCTGTTTCCAGACCAGATTCCCCAGAAGCCACTGGCTGCCCAAGTCCAGAATCTTTTGACAGAAACAGTCGTGAACTTCAGGGTAATAATTGGGACAGTGTAAACCCTCAGGAACCTCAATCCATTGGACAGGCCTGAGACTGAGGCTCTGAGGGGAACAGGTCCTATCCACCCTGCTGCGTGGACAAAGAGCGCCCAAATTCCCCTGTGATGTCTTTAATCCCAGAGTTCAGTTACTCATTTTTTTTCTAAACTTTTTTACTTTGAGATAATTTTATACTTACACAAATCTTGAAAAAAAAAAAAAAAGACCTCAGAGGCTGAGACATCTTTCTCACAAGCTTCCACTCCTCACAACAACCAACAGTCCCAGTATGGTGGATCAGCTGGTAAAGACAGCTGCCATCAATGCTGAAGAGTCCCATCCCTAGAACCCTCCACCTGGTGTTGTGGTGCCTGCATGTCCACACACAAAATAAAACACTCTATGTCTCTCATTTTGTGCCTTTTCTCTCATCCTCTCAGTATGTTTAGGTTTGTGTAAATGAGTAATTATAATAGGAGAGAGACAATTAGATATTCTTTTTTTTTAAGATTTATTTCTTTATTATTTATATAATACTCTCCCTGCATGTATTCCTACCCACCAGAAGAGGGCACCAGATCTCATCATAGATGGTTATGAGCCACTATGTGGTTGCTGGGAATTGAACTCAGGACCTTTGGAAGAGCAGCCAGTACCCTTAACCAAAGAGCCAGCTCTCCAGCCCTTAGGTACTCTTATATGAAGAGCTGGTGGCCTATTAGGGGTGGTGGTTACTTACTTAGCCTTTGTAGTGATCAAAGAATTATGAAATAAAAGTGCAAAGTTCATCAGAGCATCAAGAATGAAAAAATTCAGACATCTAATCTTACCATTTGTTGTTGAAGCCTGGAAGAAAAAACAGAGGGCATTAAAGGATTCAGTTGGTCTGGGAAGTGGTTAGTTTTTACTTGGATGAATATGGGATTCTGTTTGTTCACGGTACAGGAGGCCTATTGTTTGGAAGCAGCCCAGAATGTCCATCAGCAACTGAGTGGAATAAAGGGAGGTGCATTCCCAGCAGTCAAAGGAATTGAACTATAGCTGTGAGAATCAACACAGGGCACTGGCAAAGCTGTTGGAGGAAACAATCACACCCCAAGACAGCAGTCCAATATCATCCATTGTGATAAAATTCACAGTGTAGGGTGCCGGCAAAGCCCAACAGTACCTGAGTGGGGAGTGAGGATTGGAATAAACAACGCAAGTCACAAGGGATCAGCTCAAGAGGACTGTCAGTAAAAACTGCAGCCGCCAGTTTATTCCACAATCCCTTTTTATAGGAAAAGCCAAACAAGTCACATCAGTACAAAAAAAGAAGTTCATGGAACTGTCAAACTTGTTTTCTTAAACCACTTCCCTGTAGCGGGATATGGTCCAGGGTCACACAAACACATTTAAGGAACTTAGTGGTACATCCTGCTCTTCTCTGCCTCAAGGGGAAGGGCAGGGTGAAAACATGTTCTTCACTGAATACCCAGTAACAAAGCAGCTTGACAAGCAAGCAGCTCTCCACCATAGGGAAGGAAAGTGTTGAATGTATGCTTGTAAATAGTGTTAGGATAAAGAAAGCCAAGCGATGTCCACACACACTCTGGTTGGGGCTGAGGGTGCAGGAATCAAGTGGCAGCTTGTCTCGTACTGAATATTCCTTAGCAGAGTGCTCTCTGTCTGGTCCTTCATGGGCCATTCTTTAAATTGGTTGAAGTCAAACTTTGCTAAAGATGTGGGTGAAGGCTAGGTAGTGATGGTGCACACTTTGATCCCAGCACTTGGGAAGCAGAGGCAGAAGGATTCCTTACTTTGAGGCCAGCCTGGTCTATAGAGTGAGTTCCACAACAACTAGGACTACACAGAGAAACCCTGGCTCCAGAAACCCAAACAAAAACAAGCAAATAAATAAAGTAAGAAACCAAACCAAACCAAACCAAACCAACAAAACTTGTGTTCGCTCAAAATCTTATCTTCAAGTGTTTGTAGCAACTTTCTTCATAATATCCAGGCTGCAAACAAACAAAAGTCTTCCAACTGGTGAATGGATACAAACTGTGCTACATCTATAGGATGGGACATTTTGAGGAAACAGAAAGGCCCAATGGGTAAAAGAGCCCCTGAGCAGTTTCAAATGCATTCTTCTAAGGAGTGAGCACTGACCTCAAAGGCTGCATATTTGTTCTGCATGGTATTCTGTATTAGAGATTTTTCTCCACATCTTTTTGTTTATTTGTTTTTGTTTTTTGAGACAGGGTTTCTCTCTGTAGCCCAGGATGCCCTGGAACTTGCTCTATAGAGCAGGCTGGCCTCAAACTAAGAGTTCTGCTTGCCTCTGCCTCTCAAGTACTGGGATTAAAGACATGTGCCACCACACCCAGCTGTGTGAACACAGCTTTTCTTTTCTGTGGGGTAAATACCTCAGCAGAGACAGCTGAGTCATATGTTAAGAAGAGGTTTGACTTTGTGGCCCTACTGCCCCCTGGTTTCTCTAGACCGCATGGTTTTGCATTACACCAGCATGGTGTGATGTTTCTGTTGGTCGTTTCTGGTTGCTGTGCATCCTTAGTGACAGCCAGCATTGTCCTGTTTGAGGGGCAGGGGAGGACAGTTTTGCTGTGAGGGTTCATTTGTAAAATATTTTCAATGTCAAAAAGTACCAAGCGTTCTCTCTAAATATCCATGAAGAAGCCGGGCTTGGTGGCGCATGCCTGTGATGCTAGCACTTGGGGAAGTAAGAACAGGCGGATTCCTGTGAGTCTGAGGCCAGCCTGCTACAGATGAAAAGGAAAATGCTGTAATTGGATATTATGTCCCTCCCCCCAAAGTGGACCATAAGTAAAGCAGAAAGGTAGCTGT